GCGCCTGGGTGGCTCATTCGGTTCAGCACCTAACTAAGCTCAGGTCGTGATCTCACGGTCCATGAGTTTGAGCCCCGTGTCGGGCTCTGTGCTGACTGCTCGGAGCCTGGAGCTGCTTCGGATTCTGTGTCTCCCTCTCTCTCTGCCCCTCCCCCACTCAAGCTCGGTCTCTTTCTCTCTCAAGAATAAATAATAAACATTTAAACAAAATGTATACGTCCCCCTATTCATAGAAGCAGAACACACCACGCTGATCCATCACTTCAGAGAAGCAGGGGTGGGAATCACGTGGTTTCCAACTGTTCGCAGGTTTCCCATCTCACACAAACTTACGCTGCGGCGAGAAGCTGGTCCTCACAGTCACCGGCAAAGTCATTGTTCCCAGGTGAGCCGGCAGCTCCCAGCACCCGGAAGAGCCGCGTGCAGGACAGGCCCATGTCCGCCAGCTGTGTCTCCACTTCCTGCCAGCCCAGAAACCCTCCGGGTACCGAAACTGGCGTATCTGTGAGCCCAGCGATGAGTTCTCGCAAAAGGCGATCCTTCACAGGAAAAGAGAATGTTTGTGATACACCAGTAAGGCCAGTGCGGGCACCAGCGAGGCAGCCCCCACCCAGTCTCACTTACCAAGGGTTCCTTTGTTGTTGTTGTTAGTGTTTATTTATTTTTGAGAGAGAAGCAGAGACAGAGAGGGGCAGAGAGAGAGGGAGACACAGAAGCCGAAGCAAGCTCCAGGCTCTGAGCCATCAGCACAGAGCCCGGCGCAGGGCTCAAACCCACGAACCACAAGATCATGACCTGAGCCAAAGTCGGACGCTTCACCAACTGAGCTGCCCAGGCGCACCAGCAAGGGTTCTCTTGACTGTGAGTCCAAGACCTTGCCCTGCAGGTGTCTGATAACCTAAGCAACCGTCCTAGACTTGAGTCTTGACTCGTGTCCAACCGAAGAGACCCCAAAATCAAAGTTCATCCAGGAATCGAGCAGAAGGGACCCACGTGTTAGCTAGTCCCCTGTGGCCCCTACTGGACCGGCCTCCTGTCACTCTGCTCCACAACTAAGAGAAGCTGAGCGTTGGCTCCCATTAACCAACAAAACGCACAAGGGCATGTGCGCATTCCAGCCCTACCCTTGCCTTGGAGCGGCACCACAGGAAAACAATGAACCAGGTAATCCTGACACCAAAAGGCGAAGGGTGTCATAAGTTTTCGTGCCCAGTGAGAACAACATGGA